GGGAATTTTGGGGGGAAAAAGGGGAATTTTGGGGGGGAAAATGGGAATTTTGAGAGGAAAAATGGGAATTTCGGGGGGAAAATGGGAATTTTGGCGGGAAAAATGGGAATTTTGGGAGGAAAAAGGGGAATTTTCGGGGGAAAAAGGGGAATTTTGGGGGGGGAGGGGCTGATCCCGAGGGGAGACCCAGGGGGGAATTCCAGAGCCAAAATTCCAGAGGCAAAATTCCCGAGGATTTCTCCTCAGGGAGAATTCCGGAGCCAATTCCAGAGGCAAAATTCCCAAGGATTTCCTCTCAGATGGAATCCCAGATCCCAAAAATCCCAGATCCCAAAAATTCCAGATCCCAAAAATCCCAGATCCCAAAATCCCAGATCCCAAAAATCCCAGATCTCAAAAATCCCAGATCCCAAAAATCCCAGATCCCAAAAATCCCAGATCCCAAAAATTCCAAAGGGAAAATTCCCAGGATCCCCCAAATCCAAAGGAAAATTTCAGGATCCCAAATCTCAAAGGGAAAATTCCAGGATCCCCAAATTCCAAAGGGAAAATTCCGGGATCCCAAATTCCAAAGGGAAAATTCCAAAGGGAAAATTCCAAAGGGAAAATTCCGGGATCCCAATTCCAATCTCCCGGCTCCCATCCCCGAGCAGGATCCTGGGAATCCTCGGGAATCTCCCGGGAATCCATGGGAATCCATGGGAATCCATGGGAATCTCCTGGAATCCTCGGGAATCTCCCGGGAATCTCCAGGAATCTCCCAGAAATCCATGGAAATCCATGGGAATCTCCCGGAATCTCCCAGAATCCTCGGGAATCTCCCAGAAATCCACAAAAATCCACGGAAATCCATGGAAATCCCCGGGAATCGCCCGGAATCTCCGGGAATCCCCTGGAATCCCTTGGGAATCTCCCAGAAATCCACAGAAATCCACGGAAATCCATGGAAATCCACAGAAATCCACAAAAATCCACAGAAATCCACGGAAATCCATGGAAATCCCCGGGAATCTCTTGGAATCTCCTAGAATCCTCGGGAATCTCCCAGAAATCCACAGAAATCCATGGAAATCCATGGGAATCCCCAGAAATCCCCGGGAATCTCTCTGGGAATCCCCGGGAATCCCCCGGAATTCCGGGAACCCCTGGGAACCCCCGGGAAATCTCCCAAAAATCCACAGAAATCCATGGAAATCTCTCCGGGAATCCCTGGGAATCTCCCAACAATCCACAAAAATCCACAGAAATCCATGGAAATCCACAGAAATCCCCAGAAATCCATGGAAATCCCCGGGAATCCCCAGAAATCCCCGGGAATCTCTCCGGGAATCTCCCAGAAATCCACAGAAATCCACGGAAATCCCCGGGAGTCTCTCCGGGAATCCCTGGAAATCCCCGGAAATCCCCAGAAATCCACGGAAATCCATGGAAATGTCTCAGGAAATCCCCAGGAATCCCCGGGAATCTCTCCGGAAATCCCTGGGAATCTCCCAGAAACCCCCAGGAATCCCTGGGAATCTCCCTGGGAATCTCCCGGAAATCCACAGAAATCCACAGAAATCCATGGGAATCCCTGGGAATCTCCTGGAATCCTCGGGAATCTCCCGGAAATCCCCAGAAATCCACAGAAATCCCCGGGAATCTCCCTGGGAATCTCTCCGGGAATCGCCTGGAATTGCGGGAATCCCCGGGAATCTCTTGGAATCTCCTGGAATCCCTAGGAATCTCCCAGAAATCCATGAAAATCCATGGAAATCTCTCCAGAAATCCCCGGGAATCCCCCAGAATCCCCCGGAATCCCCCGGAATCGCCCGGAAATCCCCAGAAATCCCCGGGAATCCACAAAAATCCACGGAAATCCCCCAGAATCCCCGGGAATCCCCGGGAATCTCTCCAGGAAGCCCCGGGAATCGCCCGGAATTCCGGGAATCCCTGGGAATCTCCCAGAAATCCACAGAAATCCATAGAAATCCCCAGGAATCTCCCAGAAATCCCTGGAAATCCACAGAAATCCACGGAAATCCATGGAAATCTCTCCGGAAATCCCTGGGAATCCCCGGGAATCTCCCAGAATCTCCCAGAAATCCCCAGGAATCCATGGGAATCTCTCCGGGAATCCCCAGGAATCGCCCGGAATTCCAGAAATCCCCGGGAATCCCCGGGAATCCCCCAGAATCCCCAGGAATCTCCCGGAATTCCGGGAACCCCCGGGAACCCCCGGGCTCGGCGCCGGTACCCACCCGGAGGCCGGGGGCTGCTCAGTGAAACAGCTGGGCCGGGAGAGCCGCGGAACATTCCGGAAAACCCCGACGGATCCCGGGGAAAAACGGGAGGAGAGAGCGGGAAAAGCGACCGGGAACGACGGAAAAAGAGAGAGAGAAAAAGAGAGAAAGGAAAAAAAAAGAGGGAAAAGAGAGAAAATTCCAGGGAAAAGCAGGAAAAGAATCCGGGGATTGAAAGAGGGGAAAGATCCGGGGAAAAATTCCCGGAATTCGAGGAGGGAAAAGGTCGGGAAAAGGGAAGGGGAAGGGGTTTTTGGGGATTTTTGGGGATTTTTGGGGATTTTTGGGATTTTTGGGGAATTCCTGAGGTTTTCCCAAAGAATCTGAGGGAATTTTGGGAGTTTTGGGTGGGAAATCCCCAAAAATGTGGGAGAATTTGGGAATTTTGGGAATTTTCCATGGAAATCCCAAAAAAAGCGGGAGAATTCCAGGAATTTTGGGAGTTTTGGGTGGGAAATCCCAAAAAAAGCGGGAGAATTCCGGGAATTCCGGGAATTTTGGGAATTTTGGGTGGAATTCCCAAAAAAAGCTGGAGAATTCCAGGAATTTTGGGAATTTTGGGTGGGAATCCCAAAAAAAGCGGGAGAATTCTGGGAATTCTGGAAATTTTCCATGGAAATCCCAAAAAAAGCGGGAGAATTCCCGGGATTTTGGGAATTTTGGGTGGGAAATCCCCAAAAAAAAGGGGGAAAATTCCCGGGAATTTGGGAATTCCAGGAGAAAACCTGGGAATTTGGGAATTTTGGGTGGGAAATCCCAAAAAAAGCGGGAGAATTTGGGAATTTTGGGAATTTTCCATGGAAATCCCAAAAAAAGCTGGAGAATTCCAGGAATTTTGGGAATTTTGGGTGGGAATCCCAAAAAAAAGTGGGAGAATTCTGGGAATTTTGGGAATTTTGGGTGAGAAGTCCCAAAAAAAGCGGGAGAATTCCGGGAATTTGGGGAATTTTGGGATGGGAATCCCAAAAAAAGGGGGGAGAATTCCAGGAATTTTGGGAGTTTTGGGTGGGAATCCCAAAAAAAGCGGGAGAATTCTGGGAATTCCGGGAATTTTCCATGGAAATCCCAAAAAAAGCGGGAGAATTCCGGGAATGTTGGGAATTTTGGGATCGAAATCCCCCAAAAAGCGGGAGAATTTGGGAATTTTGGGAATTTTGGGATGGAAAAAGCGGGAGAATTCCGGGAATTCCGGGAATTTTGGGAATTTTGGGGTGGAAAAAGCGGGAGAATTCCGAGAATTCCGGGAATTTTGGGATGGAAAACGCAGGAGAATTTGGGAATTTGGGAATTTTGGGATGGAAAAAGCGGGAGAATTCCGGGAATTCCGGGAATTTTGGGAATTTTGGGATGGAAAAAGCGGGAGAATTCTGGGAATTCCGGGAATTTTGGGGTGGAAAAAGCGGGAGAATTCGGGAATTCCGGGAATTTGGGAATTTGGGGATGGAAATCTCCAAAAAAAGCAGGAGAATTCCGGGAATTTTGGGAATTTTGGGGTGGAAAAAGCGGGAGAATTCCGGGAATTCCAGGAATTTTGGGAATTTTGGGAATTTTGGGATGGAAAAAGCGGGAGAATTCCGGGAATTTGGGAATTTTGGAACAGAAAAAGCCGGAGAATTCTGGGAATTCCGGGAATTTTGGGATGGAAAACGCAGGAGAATTTGGGAATTTGGGAATTTTGGGATGGAAAAAGCGGGAGAATTCCGGGAATTTTGGGATGGAAATCCCAAAAAAAGCGTGAGAATTCCGGGAATTCCGGGAATTTGGGGATGGAAAAAGCGGGAGAATTCCGGGAATTCCGGGAATTTGGGAATTTGGGACGGAAAAAGCGGGAGAATTCGGGAAATTTGGGAATTTTGGGGTGGAAAAAGCGGGAAAATTCCGGGAATTCTGGGAATTTTGGGAATTTTGGGATGGAAAAAGCGGGAGAATTCCGGGAATTTTGGGGTGGAAATCCCAAAAAAAGCGGGAGAATTCCGGGAATTCCAGGAATTTTGGGAATTTTGGGATGAAAAAAGCGGGAGAATTCCGGGAATTTGGGAATTTTGGGAATTTTGGGACAGAAAAAGCGGGAGAATTCCGGGAATTGCGGGAATTTTCCACGGAGAAGGAACTCACTTGGCGAATCCGATGAAATCCTCGTGGTTGGTGTTGATGTAGGAGAGCTCGATGTCGATCAGCAGCAGGATCTGGGAACCAGGGAACGCCGGGAATGCCGGGAATGCCGGGAATTCCGGGAATAATTAGGAATTTTGGGAATGTCAGGAATTTTGGGAATTCCGGGAATGTCGGGAATGTCGGGAATTTGGGGAATTTGGGGAATTCCGGGAATGTGGGGAATGTTGGGAATTTTTGGGAATTCTGGGAATGCTGGGAATGTCGAGAATGTGGGGAATTTTGGGAATGTTGGGAATTTTGGGAATGCTGGGAATGTCGGGAATGTTGGGAATTTTTGGGAATTCTGGGAATGTTGGGAATTTTTGGGAATTGCCGCTCACCTGCTCCTTGGTTCTGCCCTCGCGCTCCCGGATGTGCGTGCTCACGATGCGCTCCGTCTCCTCCCGCAGCCGCGGGTACGAGCCCAGCTGCAGCGGGAGAATCCCGGGAAAATCACCCGGAAGGCCCGGGAAAATCCCGGAAAAGGCCAGGAAAAATCCCGGAAAAATCCCGGAAAAATCCCGGAAAAGGCCGGGAAAAATCCCAGAAAAATCCGGGAAAAATCCCAGAAAAGGCTGGGAAAAATCCGGGAAAAGTCTTGGGAAAATCTGGGAAAAATCCCGGGAAAGGCCAGGAAAAATCCCAGGAAAATCCCAGAAAAATCCAGGAAAAATCCGGGAAAAATCCCGGAAAAATCCGGGAAAAGGCCGGGAAAAATCCCGGAAAAATCCTGGAAAAATCCGGGAAATATCCAGGAAAAGGCCGGGAAAAATCCTGGAAAAATCCCGGAAAAGGCCCAGAAAAATCCTGGAAAAATCAGGAAAAATCCCAGAAAAGGCCCGGAAAAGGCAGGGAAAAATCCCAGAAAAGGCCAGGAAAAATCCAGGAAAAATCCCGGAAAAGGCCGGGAAAAATCCGGGAAAAATCCTGGGAAAATCTGGGAAAAAATCCCAGTTTGACCCCGGTTTGACCCCGGTTTGACCCCAGTCTGACCCCGGTCTGACCCCGGTTTGACCCCGGTTTGACCCCAGTTTGACCCCAGTCTGACCCCAGTTTCTGACCCCGGTTTGACCCCGGTTTGACCCCGGTCTGAGCAGTACCTTACTGGTGCACTGGGCTGACCAGTCCCACCCCAGTCTGACCCCGGTTTGACCCCAGTTTGACCCCAGTCTGACCCCGGTTCTGACCCCGGTTTGACCCCGGTTTGACCCCGGTTTGACCCCGGTCTGACCCCGGTTTCTGACCCCAGTCTGACCCCAGTTTGACCCCAGTTTCTGACCCCGGTCTGAGCAGTACCTTACTGGTGCACCGGGCTGACCAGTCCCTCCCAGTCTGACCCCGGTCTGACCCCGGTCTGAGCAGTACCTTACTGGTGCACTGGGCTGACCAGTCCCACCCCAGTCTGACCCCAGTCTGACCCCAGTTTGACCCCGGTTTGACCCCAGTCTGACCCCAGTTTGACCCCGGTCTGACCCCAGTCTGACCCCGGTTTGACCCCAGTTTGACCCCGGTCTGACCCCGGTTTGACCCCGGTTTGACCCCAGTTTGACCCCGGTCTGAGCAGTACCTTACTGGTGCACTGCCGCACGGTGTTGATCAGCTCCTGTCTGACCCCGGTTTGACCCCGGTCTGACCCCGGTCTGACCCCGGTTTGACCCCGGTCTGACCCCGGTCTGAGCAGTACCTTACTGGTGCACTGGGCTCACCAGTCCCACCCCAGTCTGACCCCAGT